CTCATAATTCCACTAGAATCTAAGATCAAATGCAGGAGAGAGAGAGAACGAATGAATGAGAGTGGATACAAGAAGGGTGTCGGCTCTGTCTTTCTGGAATCACAGTTCAGCTAAATAGAGGCAGAGTCCACTTCCAGTGTGGCTCGGTTCCTACACTGCCACTACAATCATCAGTGGACTTCCTGGGTCTCTTACCCTCTGGGTGGAAGAGTCCCCTTCCAGGACCTCAAGCTAGAGCAAGGTGTCTTTCTGGAGTTCTGTCTATGCTCCAGCACTCACTCGTGGATTTCTGGCTGTTGAGTTTATACACACAGGTTGGATTCTTGGTGGGAGTCCCAAAGAGGTTTGTGGATGAGGGTAAATTACCACTTCAGTGAATCCTTGAATGCTAGTGTTTTTCCCTCATTAATCTTTTACTGTTTATTTTTCAAAACTTCAAATAGGGCCAGGGAGATGGCTCAGTAGAATAAGTGCTTCCCTGACAAGCACAGGGGTCTGAGTTCAATCCCTGATTCAGCAAAAAAAAAACTTCAAATAAGCTGCTTCCTGAATTCTGTCCAGAATTTAAAGTTTCATTCAGTGAGAGGGCCCACATGTGTGTAACCTATCTATTCCATCTTCCTTTGAACCAGACCTGTAATTTCCTGTAGAAGAGTACTTACAATAATACCACCATCCCTTCTGCTTTCTAACCTCCAGCTAATCTCCTACTAATGTGTAATTTGAATCATATTTGTACCTTGCAAAAAAAAAAATCTTCATTAGCTTTCTGTTGCCTTAGGTTAAACGCAGACTACTTCACTACTCAGATTCCCCAAACATAGTCCATGTTATAGCCAAAAGGGATACCTGCTGATTGACATATAGGTATCTTCTTACATACAACTTCATGTGTTTCTCTGTCTATAATAATTTCTCCCTCTTCAAAGGACACACATTTTTTAATGCTTAGGTGCACCACCTTCTTTCAAATTGTTCTAGCTCTCTGCCCTGCTCTCATATACTTCCCATAACAATAGTATGATTTCTTCAGCCTTTAAGAAGCTTATTTTAGCTGCCGAGTTCCGGGAGCCCCCAGACCCAGTCCTAGCCCAGGTCCGAGCTCCACCTGAACTTCAGTACGTGTGAAGGTTACAACTACAGCAAAGATCTACAACAAAGGGCAGAAGACAGTGCTACACAAAATGA